TGGATTTTCCATATATTCTGTCAGTGATAGTTGTCACTCGAGAAAACAAAGCAGTGAATCTCCCCAGCAGGTACACAGACAGCAATCAAACCTTGACAAAGGGTCCAACCATTACATACTTTATCCAAAATGTAAACATTTTCCTCAATACCATCTGGGGTATTGCTTAGTAATACTTACTAGGCAGCCTAACTCCTGCTTGGAACTCATGGCACATTATTGGGTCTATACACAGCATTTGCCTACCCAAGCTAGCTGAGATTTGCAAGTGGCACCTGTCAGTATGCCTTCTACCTAATATAATTCTGGAATCTCACATATATTAAAAAAAAAAACCATAATATAATATTAATGAAACGTATGCAAAGCAATTTCTATACTGTTCAGATTCATTTGAATTGGGCCACAATTATCATTTATACACTATGACTTTTTTATTATAAGAAAATTATGTATTAGTAGTAGAAGTCCCTGCAGCAAGTGAATTGCAATGAGATGTGGCCTTCTAATTTTTAATTTCTGGCCCCATCAGCTCACACCCCTTCTTACCCTCTGACTTCTGCTGCAGCTCACACAGATACTGTAACTTTCAGCCTGGCAGCTCACACCATCCTTAACCTCTGCTGCTGGCCCAAAGGACTTCTGCCAGCATCTGGAGATACAGCTTGCCGCTCCTCAGCAGAGACACCACTCATGACCATGCCTGCAACCCCCCGACTACCACGCCTTCACACCATCCCCAACATACCTCCCTGCTCTTACCACTTTGTCCAACCTCCCTCCCCAGGTCTCACCCCTCCTCCCACATGCCTCCCAACTGCTCTAATGCCAGTGTCTGCCAACTATTTTTAATGAACAGTTGCTAAACATGTCCCCCTGAATGCACCTTTTGTACATTAAACATTTCTTGCACATTCACAGTCTAACAAATATTAATATCACGTTCCCCATAAGTGCAAGTTAGTGAATCCAGCTAGGAGAATGTGGCTGGATTCACCAGTTTTTTTTGACTATGCCACTGGATATTGGATGGATCCAATATATCAAAAACGTACCACAAAGGTTCATGCTGTTGCCCATTACAACCATAGTAAAAAGAGTGTTGTTAGCCATTTGTATTTATTTAATTGGCTAAATAACCTCAATCCCTATTCTGGCCTTTTAGTTTAGCTACTATTTAAAAACTGGAGTTGGGCATTAAAAGGGCATGTTTTCAGGACTGCTACAGGAACTGTCCCCAAGCTTGCCATTTTTATTTTCCCACATTTAGCAATTATAATAACCAATTCATTTTCATGCTTTTTATTTTTGAAAGTTTTTATGTTTATATACATTCAGTGTATTTCATTAATAAGGAGTGTTTGCATGCAGCATGCCATTGGCATATGTATGGTATTGTTTCTATAAAATGTCTAAGTAAACTGTATGAAATCTTTGGATCTCAAAATATGTTCTTTGGAATCTTCCTTAGAGTGTAGCTCAGCAATTCTTGTTTTTTGACTTGATTTGTCAGCTGCCTCCCAGAACTTCCAAACATGCATCAAAATGCTGTTTCTTAAGCATCCCCTGTGGCCAGTTCTGTGAACAGGAGATCTGTGATTCTTGCAGTTCCATATTGTTTCCTAGTGAATGATTTATTACTGCGCAATAGTTTTCCTACATGTTGTTAGTTAAGCCTATGTTTTGCATGTGTATTTGATCTTTATCTTTCTTCAAGACTGTAACAATTTAATATCACCAAGGTTGTAAAAATAGGGGGAAAACATGGTAACAAATACAGTATATAAATGCTGGTTTATGCTGTGTGCATGGCATGGCCTTAAACATTTGATGCAGTCTCTGGGTAATTACAGCTTGCTATTATTTATGATCACTTAATACAGATTGTCTTGTGATACAAATCATGATCAGAAAGATTCAAGAGTGCATGTAATTTAAAGCCCAAATTTGGCCTCCCCCTACATCTCTGTGCTCTCAACTGCCACAACCCCTAGCCCACACCATGGTGTACTTTTTGCTTAAATTTGATATGCTATACTTACCGTTTCAAAAATCTCCAGGTCAGTCACATGACATGTAGGGTCTACTTCCTCTTCAGATTTTCTCTAATAATGGGGAGGCCTCAATTATACAGAGAGCGGCACAGACATGGTGGCATAAGCTCTGCTCTTAGCATCATTACACATAGTGAATGATGCACTGGTGGATCCCTACTGCCCTGCACTGATGGTATATCCACAGTCTTTCAGGATAAAAGAGTCTGGGCATCATTCATAACCATAGACTGAGGACATCTTCTGCCAGAGAAGAGGTACTGTAGGCAGCGGTGTATTTATCTTTGCTGCTGCCCTAGGCAAGGCAGCAACGCCGCCCCCCCCCTATACGCCCCTGACTGTAGGGGACATTGCCAAAGAGGAAGTCAATACTGAAGCCAGAACTACTTTTTCTATTTCTCTATTAAATATATAGTCCAGAGTTATGCTTTAGGATATGAATATGCTCTCATTACTGATTTTTGCTCAATATTATTCATTTTCTGACTATTACTAATATCTTTCAACTTTAATGCTTAGTAACTCACTGACCTAAAACAGCTTATGCAATTTGGGACTTCCAGACTCATTGGCTCAACCTTGTTCCATTTAAATGCCTCTCTAAGGGGCATAGATATAAAGCAGTTATTCTGACAGACACCAAACATTAACTTCAGGTGAATCTTCCTGGTGCATGTGTTATAAATGACTGATCAATTCACTACCAGTAAAAGTCATATTGACTGCTGAATAAATATGTCCCTATGTCATAAAGCCAGGAAATTATTATAATGGGCAAGCAACTAATGACATCAAAAAGTAGTGGACAATTGTATTGCCTGTATTTTTCTCATGACAGGTTCCCTTTAGCCTGTTTTATTTTGGTAGGTGTCACATGAAATCATCTGCTTTTTTGTTGATATAAAATTTCAGCAACCTGTACTTACATTAATTGTAATATTATTAACCAGGCAGTACCTGTCTTAGCTTGCCAGGCAACTAGCTGTATCAAAAGGACATAAGCAATGATTTCTTGATATTTTTGGCATGATTGGTTTCTTTTAAATTCAAAGTTGAACGGTATTCAACACTATGATCTTTTGGAACATCTGACATATATCCAAAAAAGTAAAATTTCATGTTCAGATTTCAGAGAAATTTTTTGTGTTAGGGTGGGTGGTATGTTAATATTACTTAAAAAGACATTACCACTGAAAAAGTACATTTGTCATCTGACCTAGTTTTCCTTTTAAACAAAACTCTAAAAGGAACTTTATCTGATGGGGGGAGGGGGTGAATTCCAATAAGACGACAATAGATCAAGTATTCCAATTCAATAGCAGTGCATGGTGGAACATCCCCTTCACCAGCACATGGGTCCCACTGTGGAGAGGACCAGAGAAAGCCAGAAAGGCTTTTGGATGGCAGTAAATGATGGGTGGCAGTAAATGATGGATGGAATATTATTAACGGTCACAATTAACGATTAAACAAAATACTTTGTGAGTAAATCCCCGTTTCCTCCATAATACTGGTCTGTGCGCAAGCGTAGATGCTGAGGTCGGCAAATTCGACTACGTCGGCATTCGACAGAACACCGCTATCTGTGTTTTGTATCGGGGCATTTTCACGAAATACCAGTTAATATAATGCATTGCTGGGACTTGCAGTCCCAGCAATGCGGGACTACAAGTCCTAGCAATACATTATAATAAAAGTCGGCTATGCAGAATCCCCCCAGCATCCCCCCTCACTATAATGCATTGCTGGGACTTGCAGTCCCAGCAATGCGGGACTACAAGTCCTAGCAATACATTATAATAAAAGTCGGCTATGCAGAATCCCCCCAGCATCCCCCCTCACTATAATGCATTGCTGTATAATCATCATACAGCAATGCAGAATACCACCAGCTATGTGGGACTACAAGTCCCAGCAATACATTATAATAAAAGTAGGCTATGCAGAATACCCCCAGCATCCCCCCTCACTATAATGCATTGCTGGGAATTGTAGTCCTCTATGGCTGATGCCATTCTGCACTGCTGCAATGAAGAATGGCACCAGCTATAGAGGACTACAACTCCATGTAATAATTTAGACAGAAATGCAGATTAGTTCCATCAGCTATACAGGACTACAAACAACTCACAGAACATACAGGCACAGAGATTAAAGCACTTACCTTATCTAACTGTCCTCCAGGCTGGAACACCATGCAGCAGGGAGAGGCAGCGGGGTGTGTATTCAGAAAGCAGCTCTCTGGGTGCTCCCGGCCGCGGCCCCAGATTAAAGCACTTACCTTATCTAACTGTCCTCCAGGCTGGAACACCATGCAGCAGGGAGAGGCAGCGGGGTGTGTATTCAGAAAGCAGCTCTCTGGGTGCTCCCGGCCGCGGCCCCAGCACTGCCTGTGGTACAATTACACCCGGTGTGCGGCTCTCTCCCTTACTTGCAGGGCGGCCAAGCGGATGGTGCCCGGCGCCCCCCACCATTCGTTCCCCTGCCATTTTGGATTTATTTTCTCTTTCTGTTCCAGTGTCAATGGTCAGGATACAAAATGAGTGTTGCTTTCACAAACAAAAACACAGACAGGAGCAGTTGAGACCTGGCAAAGGTTGTAAGTTTTGATTGGCGCTGCTCACACACACACACACGTTTTGCAAAACTGTAATGTAGTTGGCAATTAGAAACCCAAATTATGTGAAAAAAAAATCTTTATTAAGGATGGGCAGGCAACCCACCCAAGTAGTAGAGCAGACAATAGGTGTAAACACAGTAAAGTATCAACGATTTTACAAGTATAGAAAATTGTAACTTCAGTTCTTTATGACAAGTTAAACTAGGCAATGTCTTGTTTCATCATTTCTTTTGCTACATTGCAGTTTTGAAATACTAAATGAAATCCACACATTACTGGGTTATTTGATTCAGCAAATGAGAAACATCCTCCAGTAGGCCAATATTTTAAATGACTCTAGAATGAAAGAAGTACACATTAGAATTTACAAATGCACAATGTCTTTCAGTGCCCACATATGTAAAGACCACTAAAGTTAAAGTGAACCTGTGCTTTGCTTATGCAACTGGTTCTGTTTAATACCCTCTCCATCAAAACAGCACTTAGCTTTCCCACTTAGCTTTCCTTCTTTCTACCACCGCTTGAGTTGTTTATGATGTAATGTACACAGGGCTCTGGGCTCCCACCATGTAACAGTGCTTGTGATAGACCCCAAAGCTTTCACCCAAAGAGTGACGTGCTCCTTCATAACCAGAATTACTGGGTAATTTCTTTGCTCCCAACAGCTAAATAGAGTGTCAGGAGATCAAAGGTGAGCATGTTCTGCTGAGGGAATGGGGGGATAGTGAAAGCAAACCTGATGTTTTGGCCTGCATAGGCCAAAACAACAAACTACAGGTTTGCTTTATGGTGGTTATAGACACTAGGTGAGGTGACTGGAGATGTTGGAAGACCTTAGCCAACCACTTTGGTTTTCAGAGGTGTTTGAAACCCCCCATCTCCACCCCTCACCACCCAATAAACACAAACAGTTTTAACTGTTGATGTTGTGGGTGGTTGGATTCTGTCTGCACATCTATCCACCCTGTAGTATCTTTTGTGGCCTATAGAATAATTTGTAAAAAGATTTGACCGTATACAGAAATGAACTAATTTGGCATATGCCTATGTTTCTAACCTAAGCTGATTTTCCAACCCATGTGTGTAGATGAAACAGCTTTATGGCAATGGTATACAGGAGCTTATTATTAAATGAGGTCTAAAATTAAATATACTAATAGTGCCCCTTGCACATTCTATCTAGTGGATAGAATGGGAAAGAGTTAGAAACCTGCCAAACGTTTAATAGTGTTTATTTACCCATTTAGATGATTTCCTTTCACAACCACTTCTGACGACTACTTGCTCAACCTTGGGCAGGGAGTAAGGAGACATTTTCTCAACGGGGCCACAGAAAACAATAAAACCATTTTATTTTTAATAGGGTGAGGATTATTAGAGCCTCTGTCACTTTTGTGTCTGCAACTGGGGCAAGAAATGAGGCAAACTCTCTACAGTACGGGCACTGACAGTAATAAAAACCTCAAAGGTTACAATGCACTGAATGCTGCTCATTATAGCCTGATGTCTATTAATTGCAGTTTGTTGTTGGAGCTCAGTGGCTCTGGTTAGGTAGCATACATATACCATGATCCTCACATGACACCCTGGACAAGGAAGTAATGATAGTTCCAAACCACTAATTTTAGAGTTCAAAAGATGATCTTTTAATACCAAAACAAGATGACATGGGATAAAAACAACCATGTGTTTTGGGGGTTAGGAACA